AATGAAAACGGCTCACTTGAAGGTTATCATTACGCTGGAACACCTTGACGGGGGCATCTTGACCCGCATCGTAGACATTCCAGTGGAAGACGCTGGTTGTTGTGACAAGACCAAGCTCGTTCTCGCTGATCCACTTCCAGAACTGGACATCCTCGTTCATGGTGCAGGACTTGAGCTTCTTCTTTTGCTCGAGATCGAAGATCTGCAGTGTTCTAGACTGAGCCTTGAGAGCAATAACTTGTCGGTTCCAGTGCATGATGGCACTGTCGGCCTTGATTGGCCGACGGGTGACGTTGTTGCCATTCTTGAGCTCGACGATAACGACCTCAGGCTGGGCAGCTTCGTTCTTCTTTTCTCGCACACAGACGTAGGAGTCGGACTCGAGTGTCTAGCCTCTAGTTAGCTTATGACGTTGTTTATTGCGACCAACTAGCTGGTGGCAGGTTTCAGGACGTACGCAAGAGTTGAAGCCAATGCTCTGTGTGTCCACGCCAACATTGGCGAGCTGGACAAGCTCCTGAAACTTGATGGGCAGAGTCGGCATGGCGCCGGTGTGGCCTATGATGAGGTAGAAGGGACCTTTCTCAAATCGACGCTCCTAAGCTCGAGTTCGGTCGAAAGACTGGGAAGAAGAATTGGTATCGATCTCGGATCGATCGTCAGTAATTATGCCGGGGTTGCCTACGGTTGGCGCAGTGTGAGCTTCCATATGCCGCGTGGCAGGAGACGAGATTTCAAAGTAAACAGAGAAAGCGCGAGGAATCGAAGGGAAAGAAAACAAAAGCGACGACGTGGAGATGCGAATTCCGCTGATGGGCGCAGGCGAATTAGTCGTCGAGACGGAGAGGATGAGGAATGGGTGTTGGAGGTGTGTTTTGGTTAAAGGAGAGAGCAGGAAGAAGGTTAGGTTAGGTCCAGGTCACTTTGGGTTACGTTACCTGTTCTGTTTGGAAGGAGCCACAGGTACAGCTGCATTGAAGTGGAGAGTGGAGGTGCAGCACTGCAGCCAGAGCAGAAGGTACGTATCGCATCGAAATACGGCGCGCCTGGGGAGCTAGTGTCCACTGGCTAGCAGTGGCCCGACAGTACCAATGCTGACAGCTTATTTCAGGAGCCAATAATTAGCCGAATGGCGCCTTGATTTTCCGAGCCGGCCGAGATTGAGTCAAGCAGGCTTTCGTCATCAAACAAATCAAGGGAAAAGGGGAAGCATGAATCACTGAGAAGATTACCCTGGACCTATCAATTTACTGGATAATTTAACACGAAGGCTTTATACCAGCTGCTGATATCTTGCTAGAACAGTGGTTGCTGTCTTACTACATATAGTGAAACTCAATTTGATTTTCGTTCAAATTTGTGGTTAAACTTATTCTGGCTGAGAAGCTGGCCGCAGCCTGTAGCACAACAGCTTATGCCAAGTCACGGCATGCTGCGTGTGCAAACAGAAGTAACAAGGACGCTCTGTTTATCAGGAGTTCGATAGAAATAAGCAAAGAATAATAAACTCGAGAAAACATTCTTATTCGTTTGTGATCCAAATCATAGTCAGTAAATTACATGCTATTTATTTAACCTATTTCAAGGTACACAATTTCTTGTACAGGCAAACCATATCCTCATCCGTTTGATATGTGCCAATCCATATTCAAACACCAGTTCAGACTTTATTCGCCCAAGCTCAAACATCCAACTACGATATATGTTCGCGATCAATATGATGTGTGACAGCAGCCTCATCTCCTTCAAACCCTTCACAAAACGGGCACTTGACCGTCTCAACACCAGCGCTCGGCGCACTCCCTAAACCCTCATCAAAATCCGGTATGAAATCTGCCAAACTCCTTGGTGGAGGCCCAGTAGCAAACTCGTCGTCTCGCCTCACATCCGTGTATCGCATAGTAAATCTTGTTGGCTGCGTTTGACTTCCTGTCTCTCCCGTTGCTGCAGTAGTGTTGCCCATTCTCTGTACTCGGCCCACCTGACCATCTTGTAGTCGCACTTTGATACCTCGTGGATGATTGCCCCGCGTGAGGATATCCTGCACTATTCCTTTTGTCTCTTCTCCTGTGGGCTGGTCTTCTTTCAGAATGATGAATACTGAAGCTCCAGGGATGACTTGTTGTATTGTTGGGACTGCGCCTGATGCTTGCTGTGGTGTTGCAGGTGCGCGAGATGGCCGTGATGAGCCTCCTCGTTGGTTATTCTGCTGTTGACGTGGGGGGCGAGGTTGCCGATTTCGAGGCCGATTTGGCCGGTTCATCGTTGCAAAGAATGATGTTAAGCTTTTGGATAATACTAAAATGGCTTGTCGTGCTGCCCCAAAATGAGATGGCAAATAAACCAAGGATTTAGGGAACACAATTTTGGTGAGGTTGAAGCTGATTTGATGATGCATGAGTAACAAATAAGGTATTCAGTGTTTCCCTGATGAGAAAAATTACCCTAGAGCACACCATGACACAGCAAAAAAAGCATATATCACTTACAAACACAATTAACATTCGCAATTAGATTATAGTGAGAACGGAGAATTAATTTCATTATAATGATGTAATTAAGTTGAGATTGTCATCCTATTGCCTCTAATCAAATGGCCCATGCTTTTCACTGCCCAAAAACCAGCGATTCTATGTATGCTCGAATTTCCATATCGTGCTTGAACCTCAAGCCTTTGCTATTTTCTCTTCAGGCTTCATCAGGGACAGGGAAAGAGGTGGGCTTCTTCCTGATATCCTTCCATCCCATTCCAAAAGACGAAAGAACCATGGCACACGACGTGCCTACAGCAAGCAGAAACGTCGCACGCACACCTCTCGAGTACGACCACAAGACCTGCGGTAAATCTGCTCCTGAAACAACTTCACTGACTGCTCCAGCACCGGCATCGATGATCATGTCAGCGTTGATATCGGGAAGTCTTGCGACAAGCTCATTGCGAAGCTCATGAGTGAAAATGACATTCGCAGCTGTGATAAAGATCGCACTGCCAAAGGTTTGGGAGAAAGTCAAGATCGCCATGGCTATAGGAGTAACATCGGCACTTGTGTTCGCCTGGATAGCGATAATGGGCATCTGTAGACCGAGACCACGTCCAAGACCTATCAAAATCTGATAGCCGGCCCATGTAGCCGTTGAAGCGTAAGGGCCCATTGAAGAGGCTAGACCAAAGCCGATAGAAGAGAGAATGGCGCTGGCTGTGGCGAATGGAAGATAGTAGCCAACCCTTTGAGCTGTTACTGTTAGCTGAAGGACTTCGGGTTCCATACCAAGAGGACTTACCAAGAGCGCCACTCGCGACAGCTGCAAAGATGACACTGAGAATACTAGGGAGAAGATTGACACCACTAGTGAAAGGTGAAGCATCTTTAGCCGACTGGAAATAGACAGGAAAATAGTACGATGCCACCATCACCGTAGAAAACAGAAACGACTGTGACAGGCATGAAGCCCAGACCTCTCTTGTGCGTACAATTGGGAGAGGAATCATGGCCTCTGAACCAACACGATGCTCCCAGTATACAAAGATGATGAAAAGAACACCGCCGCCACAGAAGAGTCCAATGACGGTTGCAGAATCCCAGGGATACTCAAGACCACCCCATTGAAGAGCCAGTAGCAACATCACTATGCTAGGGCAGAACAAGACGAAGCCGGTGAAGTCGAGTTTCGTTTTCAGAATCTGCATGGCGCTTTCGTCTCTACTGGCTCGGTGATCAGGCATATGGACGAACAGAATTAGAACCGCACAGATAGCGCCGATGGGAAGGTTGATGTAAAAGCCTAAATGCATAGTCAGGATTTGTATACGCTTAGACCAAGGATGAATATGACTTACACCATCGCCAAGTGGTATACTGAGTGAAAGCGCCTCCTATCAAAGGGCCACTGATGAGTCCCAGCTGAGCAAACCCCATGATAATACCAACAAGGGACGGACGCCTATGAATAGGAACTGCCTTCGCAATCATAGTAAGAGCACCATTCTGAATACCAGAAGAGCCTATACCAGCAACGGCTCGGCCGATAATCAACATAGCAGACGACTGGGCTACGCCGCAAATAAGACTGCCAACTTCGAACACGAAGAACAACGCTAAGAAAGTCCACTGCAGTGTGTGAGACTCTGTACTATAAGTTGGGCTGGAGCTTACTCACTCTTGTGTTGAAGTACATGTATATTTTGCCGGTAAGTGGCTGTAGGGCAGCACTGTGACATATCGTGGTCAGCAAATGTAGAAGGATTCAACCTAGCGCTGACCCTACCTAGCAAGATTGTATGCACTGGCATACCATCCTATGTCCGGCAAAGAGTGAAAGTCCGAAGTTATGCGCGGAACAGCCTAAATTTCCTTAGTATTGAGTGAAACTCCAAGGACTGAATGTGTAAATTACCGTTGAGATGATGGACATATCCAGCAGCATTAAGAATGCAGCAAGCGTAAGGGATATCATCATGCTTGCAAGCTTCCACCCCGATATCCATTCAGTTTCCTCCTCCTCTGTTGTGAGTTCGCCATCGCCATCTTCTGATTTCTTCGGCTTCTCGTCTTGAGTGGGTTCGTTCAAGGTTGGTGTATTTGAACGCGATTCGGTCTTTTCATCATCGCCGCTGATGGTTTGAGGCTCGCTGCGCTCTGTATTTGATGTCGGCGAAGCCATATTATCACATTCAAAGATAGACCTTCAAATAAGGATGCAGAGTTGGTTGAGCCTTGAGGCTTTCAAAAAGTTGCCTTGCATGATGGGGACACCGCATTTTTAAACAATTTGATGAAACAGCCATATAAGACATAAGCACTGTCTCCCCTAAGGAATTCATAGTGTACTTTCTAGTCCAGGGTGCATTTGTTGTGGTGTTAAGGTTGAAAGTGGTGTCAACGGAGTTGGTTATCACTTCTGGAACGGAATTCCGCTCAACCATTGAGCTCGCTTTTCTTGGTGATTTTTTCAGATGGATTCGGTGCAATATTATTTCCCGGTATCCATGCGTCAAGATACTAAAACTCCCATGGCCCAAAAACGTCGCCCATCCAAGTTACATCGCCAAAATCGATCATATTAATGTTCACCATCTCCATGGATGCCTGAACCGTTGAAGGTGGAGGAGGTGTTGGCACTGGTGCACCTGCTCCTTGATTTGTCGGTATCGAAGATGCATTTCTGAGGTGCCGTGATAGTGTAGGTTCCCATGAAATTCGAATGTTGTTCATAATCTTAGCCCCCATAACAAACACCGTTTCTTCACCTTGACTTGCTTTCATCTTGTAGACAGAATCCAGCCGTGTGAAGAATTCAACGACTTGGTCCAGTAGTACAAGTAAGTCTGCTGTATTTCGGACAAGCTCCTTGTCCCAAGCAGGATCCTCAGAAGTAGTAAGTCGATAGAGGGCGATCTGAACCTGTGACAGCTGGATATAGATTGCAAAAGGTGCTCCTGGAACATCTTCTGGAGATATGCCAAAGAAAACGTCGTACCATGATCTTATTGCTTGAAGGCAAGAATACATGCTTTCGATTCGCTGATTGACTGGGATGTTTTGCATAAAGAGTCCGACGGAGTTGATTTGAACCTCTGTCGCGAGCGAATGTGCTTGCAAAACCGCTGGAATCTGTCAGTATGCTTTGCGCCAAGAATGCATATCAGACTTACGGGTTATAGGCATATTCGCTGGTAATCCGTCTCGGACTGCTTGAAGTTTGGCAAGTAAACTCCTTCTGAAAACATACGTGGGCGCCGAAGATGACTCGCCCATAACATCCCGAACGAGTAGTTTCTGTGCCTCGTCTGCGACAAGCTGATACCTGACAAATGCGACCAGAAGCTCGTCAGATGGACATAGTTTGTCTCTTTCGAGAGCTTCCAGGCAATCACTCATATGTGGTGTCCATTGAAGAGGATCCATCTTGCCGACAAATGATGACATGCTATACGGGTCAGTAAGATTATAAACTGAGGGAATGCCACTTACACTGAAGTTAAAAACCACAGTGACACAACAGCTCGCCTTTCTTCTTGAGTGCGTAGCCGAGGTGGAGGGGGTCGTCCTCCCCACATCTTGAAACATATTGTGAAGTACTGTTCTTCAACAGGGGCTTTGGTAAGACCAAGATCATATGCAAGTAGGACAGCCATTTGGCAAAATGTGATGATAAACGGCCTGCCTGGACTTGAAGTGGTGGCAGCCCTAGATAGCTAGCGTCAGAACATGCTTCGACGAGAAGCTTAGTGATCAACTAACCATGAAATGTAACATATGAGTCCCTGAAGGCAGTCCATAGATCTCTCATGGTTTATGATAATTCTCGTGGCGATTTCTTGGCGAACTTGATCTTTCATCTTCATCTGCTGCTCAACACACATAGAGGTGATGTTCATGATACATAACCACAGGAATGGCTTCTCTTTCCGGAGAGCCGCGGCTGTTATATCATGTGGTAAAATCATGCAAGGAAAGTTCTTCAGCCATTGTTGGAATTTTGCCAGATACATTTCGGCCTCTTCTGGGGTGGGATCAAACGAGGTGGAGGGATCTTCACCAATGCTGGATGGGGAGGTATTGGGGTGAGTATTGGCTGTGCTTCTTGAATCATAATTAGGAGGCACAGTATACGGACGAGGATAACTTTCTGAGGAGGAAGAGGAAGCTGCAGCAGTTGCTAGTGATTCTAACCGGCTAGTGAGGTGACCCATGTTGGAGGAGTTCATCAAGGGGCTGGAGTCACCGGGACCTGCGGAGTGCAAATGTCCATTTGACGGCTGAGAAGCGCGCAGAATAGTGACGAGGTCTTCAAGTTTCTCTTCAAGTTGAGCGGTTCTAGAAGACGTTGACTTTTTCGCAACTCGTTTTCGCGAGGTTGCCATTGGCTGACATGACTTGCCAAGACGATGGCATCTTTCACAATCCTGGCCAGAAGCTCTCAAGATACACTTGCATTTAGCTCTTTGACATGCAGTGCAAGCTCTTCCATAGCCAGCGGGAGTCCCTGTCGTACTAGAGGCTGCAGAGCCTGACAGTTCGGGTGGTGCCATGGCTTTGGTTGTGTAATTGCTGCGCCAAGAGATCTCGCGTACGTAAACAAACAAACAAACAAACAAACAAACAAAGAAGTGATGAACAAATTCCGGTTGCGCAGTAGGGCTGATAGGAATTCGAGAATCAGTTTTGAAGGGTTTTGGCATGGGAATTGAAGGAGACCGGAGTTAGGGAATGCCGGGGGGTAAAGATAACGGAGTTCGGAATTCGATTAAATCCGTATTACTATATCCAGGCAGTCGCAATTCTATGATGATCCGAAGTGCAATCGATGAAGCCATTGATTCGAGGAGATTTAGCCAGGTTATCATGTATTATCAATCAGAATGTCTCCGTGCTGATTTCCAATATGTGACGTGAATGATTCTGTTCTCATAGTCAGATCCCTACGGAGTCTGGCCAGCCTACAGAGTAGTCTATACGCCGGAGAATTCACTAGCAGTAGACTTATCTCTCACGAGCATGACTTATAGGAAACTTTTCATCCTGTGTAGTTAGATACTAACTGATCTCCCCGTTGAGACTCTTATACACCAATATTTGACATTTATTTCGCTATTTCTAGACTTTTTTCAGGGCTTCTCAGTTTACACTATGTAGGTCGGATATAAACGATTTGCTTGATCGACATTACCGTATGGTTACTTCTACCAGCACAACCCGTTACACAAGCATGGTTAGCCCTTGCAAACTTTAGGATGTTTAAAGCAGACGAACAAGCGATGTGACTTGAAGGAGGAATATTTTCTCTCAAATTGAATTCAAGACGATCTATTCAAGCAACATCAATCTTATCTAAAGAATAGGGGACAACAATATCTTTCGTCGTTTGCTTTCCTGGTATCAGATCTCAGGGTTACATTACAAGCCAAATCCGCCTTCCCTTAATTGGTCGTAATGTCAACCAACACGATATATAATTGGTTGGACATATCTTAGCTCCAGGGGCCAATCAAAGCCGGTGTTTCCCGCTCTTCTCAATTAACTAACGTCACAAGCGTATCTCGGGTCACTTTACCTTGTAGATTTCTTCTCAACTCCATCCTCATCGCCGACATCGCAGTTCCCAATAACCATAGTCAACCCGGCAAATATCAACATGGCAGTTCCTTCTGTCGCAGCAGCAGAGATGCTGCCTCGATTCCTTCTTCCTCGTCTCAGCTGGGGCGCTCCGCTCTCCGTATCAAGGGCGACCAGGCCATTTGCCTCTATCCCTTCTAGCGATCAAAGGAGGTCATTTGCATCAATCCAGGCTGGTCCTGTTCCTAGACGTCGCTCTCCTCAAGCTGAAAGTCCTATCATAAAACGAGCATTCCATGCGACAACTATCAGACAACGAGATCATCACTTCGATACGCTCAAGTTTGTTAAGCGATTACAGGGTGAAGGGTTCACTGAGGAGCAGTCGGCTGCGATGATGAAGGTGCTGAACGATGTTATTGAAGAGAGGTGTGCTCTATCGTTTGAACATATACTATGTCCATACTAACTGACCATACAGTATCCAAAATCTCACCCGAACAATGGTACTCCGCGAAGATGCAGCAAAAGCAACGTACACTCAAAAGGTCGACTTTGCCAAGCTGCGTTCCGAGCTTCTCTCCGCCGATTCCACCGAATCCAACACGACGCGTACAGCACACGAACGATTGACAAACGACATTGCCAAGCTCAGCAACCGACTGCGCGACGAGATCAGCCGTACACAAGCTAGCGTGCGCCTCGACCTTAACTTAGAAAAGGGCCGTATTAGGGAGGAGGCTGTGGGCCAGGAGCTCAAGATCAAGGAGACGGAGACAAAGATTGAGCAGGAGGTTGCTGCGCTGAGGGAGAAGCTCGAGCAGGTCAAGTTCCAGACACTCCAGTGGCTTATGGGTGTGTGCACCGGTTTCGCGGCGCTGCTACTTGGTGCTTGGAGATTGCTCATGTAAAATTTGGGTGCATTGGGTGTTGGTTGGAGTCAGGCGGGTTGGAGTTGTATAAACAGTGTCATGGTTCACCTTAACCGATAGATTTTCTAGTGTCTGAAATCAAATTTGCGCATAACATACCGCTTTTGCCAGCTTGAACTGATGTGAATCAGTTCAATTCGCCTTTCTCTAACAAACTCCTCCCACTCAAATATTCTCTAGTCGTGTCTTCATACTGGTTTTCATGGTTAAAGAACTCTCAATGGCGCCTTTTAACAACAACTTCAAGGACTCAACAGAGCACACCCCGCCCCCGCCCCCACGTCACCCCGCCATAGACGGACATTGTATGTCCTTGGATCGGGATGCATTGTCTGTCGGCCTGAAAGCCGAAGGTCCTTTGATAGTCCGACCGGACAAGAGAGATCTGACTCGATATTGTGATAGATATAAACCCATTTCAAGGATCTCCAAAGCCTCAATCCTTTTCCCCATTCTCGATATTCTTCAAAATTGTTCAATATGGCAGATAAACCCAAGGTTCTCTTCCTAGGCAGCACCAAACAGTAAGTTCTGTTCCTACCTCAAGGAACATGAACATTTTCTGTTCTTCTTTCATGGGTGTCGTAGTTAACATGTTGCTCTAGAGCTCATGAGGAGTTTGCCTCGCTCTGTAAGATCGTGGAACCTGTCTACCCAAAGTCCACTGAGCGATCTGCCTTTATAGAAGAGACCAAGTCTGGTGCTTTCGATGGAGTCAAGGCTATCTACCGCACAAGCAAGTCTGTTGACATCACTGGACTCTTTGATGCTGAGTTACTGGATGTGTTGCCCGAGTCTCTCAAGTTTATTTGTCATAATGGTAAGTTCTCGGAGTCTACCATGACTAGATTTACTAAGGAACTACTCTAGGCGCCGGATATGACCAAATTCATGTCTCAGAGTGCACTTCTCGTGGTATCCGCGTCTCAAACACACCCACAGCTGTAGACGATGCCACGGCTGACATCACTATCTTTCTTCTCATCGGCGCCTTGAGAAATATCTCATCCTCCATCTTCACTCTACGAGAGGGAACTTGGCGGGGTAACCCTCCACCATCGCTTGGTCATGATCCCCAAGGCAAAGTGCTAGGCATTCTGGGCATGGGAGGCATTGGTCGTAATGTTGCACGCAAAGCCCGCGCTTTTGGCATGACTGTGAGATATCACAACCGCAGCCGTTTATCGCCTGATCTAGAGGACGGTGCTGAATATGTTGACTTCGAGACACTTCTTAAAGACAGTGATGTGTTGAGTCTCAACTTACCCCTGAACGTGAGTCCAGGCATGATTGGGATATTCTCGGGATTCTGAACTGACTGTTTACAGCCCAAAACCCGACATACTATCGCAAAACCTCAATTCGACATTATGAAGCGTGGCATTGTAATCGTCAACACCGCTCGTGGTGCAGTGATGGACGAAGCTGCTCTCGTGGAAGCTCTTGAATCAGGACAAGTTGCCAGTGCTGGTCTTGATGTCTTTGAGAACGAACCAGAGGTTCACCCAGGGCTCTTGAAGAATAAGAACGTCTTGCTTGTTCCACACATGGGAACGTGGACTGTAGAGACCGAGAGACTGATGGAGGCTTGGGCTATGGACAATGTTCGCCTTGCAGTGACAGAAGGAAAGTTGAAGAGTATCGTTTCTGAGCAGAAGGATCTGCAATAGACGGTAACTCTGTCTGCACATCATAGCCTTAGCGGTGTAAAGAGGCTCGGAAAGTATAGAATGGGCGAACAAAAAATAGATAGCCCAAATGAAGCTCTATTGTGTTATACACACATCCCAAGCTGATCTAAGACTTTGAGTACTTGGGATAAAAGTCTTTCATCTCTTCTTACACTAGGTCGGATGATAGATTGCAAATGACCTTATATCTGCTTAATTGACTTATAGTTGGCTACCTTAAATTGAAACAACTCAACGATTAAAACAAGCCCGGTAAAACAACAAACCCAAAATAAACCTAGAGCACAAGCAATACGTGACGGCTTCACCCCAAGGCTACGTGGAAGTGACCAAACCTTTACACAGTAGATAGTCAGAGGATATCATTATGAAAGAATCACATGAGAATCAAGTGTTAGAGTCAGAATATCTCCTTTTGAAGTTCTACTCTATCCTGGCCACGGTTGACGGGCCTGCCTGTATCGAGTTACTATCTCATCCATCCCTATGGGGGAGGCCTCGTCTTGGTCATATCCGTCCAATTCATTCCATTCATCATCCATTTTTATAATCTCGAAGGGGGGAATCATGATTAGCAAAAAAGCCAACGCCATTTTGTTGAAAAAGCAAGATTTTTTTGCCCCTCCCTGCACCCTGCGAGGAGTCTTCTCTTTGATAATTTAGAGAAGTAACCCAAATAAGCAGAAACAAAGAAGAGAAGAGAAAAAAAAATCAGAAAACCGCAGATGTCCTTGTAACTCTCCCAACCCATATGCCATGCAAGTTCATGCTGTTGAAACTAGAATTTTGCCGATTGTCATGTCGACAGAAGAGGGAAAAGTTCGTTACACGTAGGAATCCAGTTGAAGGATCCTGGGTATTGATTACACACGCTTAGTAGCGGTAGATATCGGCCTTGAAGGGACCCTCAACGGTGAGGCCGAGGTACTCAGCCTGGACCTTGCTGAGGGTGCTGAGCTCAGCCTGGCAGTGGTCAAGGTGGAGACGGGCGACCTCCTCATCGAGGATCTTGGGGAGGACATAGACACCAACGTCGAGCTTGTCGGTCTTGGCGAACTCGACGTACTTCTCACCCCAAGCCTTGTCGGCGGCCTTGTACAGCATGATCTGGGCAAGGACCTGGTTGGTGAAAGAGCAAGACATAACGAAAGAAGAGTGGCCAGTAGCACAGCCAAGGTTGACGAGACGACCCTCAGCAAGGAGGATGATGTGACGGCCGTTGGGCATGAGGAAACGGTCAACCTGGGGCTTGATGTTCTGGACAGAGCTGGCGTTGGCCTTGAGCCAAGCAACGTCAATCTCGATATCGAAGTGACCAATGTCTGTTTACCAATGTCAGTGATGAATCATTGAGTGAAAGAGTGATATAACTTACTGCAGACGATGGCGTCGTTGGGCATAGCCTCGAAGTGCTCGCCAGTGAGGATATCACGGCAACCGGTGGTGGTGACGAAGATTTGACCGACCTTGGCGGCCTTCTCCATGGTGGTGACTTGGTAACCGGCCATAGCAGCCTGGAGAGCGTTGATGGGGTCAATCTCGGTAACGAGGACGCGGGCACCCATGCCGTGGAGGGCCATGGCGCAACCCTTACCGACATCACCGAAACCGGCAACGACGGCGACCTTGCCAGCAATCATGACATCGGTAGCACGCTTGATACCGTCGACAAGGGACTCACGGCAGCCGTAAAGGTTGTCGAACTTGGACTTGGTGACTGAGTCGTTGACGTTGATGGCGGGGACAAGGAGCTTGCCATCCTTGAGCATGCGGTAAAGGTGGTGGACACCGGTGGTGGTCTCCTCAGAGACACCGAAGCAGTCCTTGAGCATCTCAGGGTACTTCTGGTGAACAAGGGTGGTCAGGTCACCACCGTCGTCGAGGATGAGGTTGAGCTTCTTGTTGTCCTTGAAGGCAGTGAGCTGCTGCTCGAGGCACCAGTTGTACTCCTCCTCGGTCTCACCCTTCCAGGCGAAGACGGGGACACCGGCGGCGGCAATGGCAGCAGCGGCGTGGTCCTGGGTGCTGAAAATGTTGCAGCTGGTCCAGGTAACCTCAGCACCGAGAGCAGTAAGGGTCTCGATGAGGACGGCGGTCTGGATGGTCATGTGAAGGCAGCCAGCAATGCGGGCACCGGCGAGAGGCTGGTCGGCAGCATACTTGGCTCGGGTCTGCATGAGACCGGGCATCTCATTCTCAGCGAGCTCAATCTCCTTGCGGCCAAAGGCGGCCAGAGAAAGGTCAGCGACCTTGAACTTGTGGGCGGGAGCAGACATGATGAATGGATGTGGAGGAAGGGATGAAAGGATGGATGAGAGGAGAAGGAAGAAGAGAGAATAGAAAGAGAAGAAGAAGGGACTGAAAAAGTTGAATGGGAAGAGGAAGAATATGTAGGTTGTAGAATCAACAACGAGATAACATTGGGCGGGGCAGAGAGAACTGCTTCTATGGGCTGAGAGCCTCTGGAGGGGCCTGGAGGGGGAGGGGTTGACCAGGGCCCAGCAGTGTCAGTGGGGTTTTTTTCGCGGGCGGTGAAGTCGATGGACGGCAAAATGAGGGGCAGAATTTTCTTCTGCCATTGAGGCCCAGCAATTTTGAGGCGGGGCAGAGCAGAAATGCACTCCGAGTCCAGTCGATCTTCAGGCTAGGTACTTGTAAGCGGGTGGTTGGCTGGGCACTGAACCTGGTACCCTCGAGAACCTGGCGGTTTGAAGCGCCAAAAGGTACCTCCGAGTAAGAGTGGATCTCAGGGACTCGGAGAATCCACCAGAGGAAAAAATAAAGAGGAGCTTTCTCATGATGGGAAGCTCCTCCAGGTCTTGGTACGAATACGGGACTAGTGAGAAGGGGACCACGTTGATTTTTCTCATTCAGTGAGTGGGCAAATAATTAGACTTCTTTTTTACTGTCTATAGCGACTATCTGCTCATCGATTGATCACTCCGACTGTGCATAACTTGCTTCGTACAGATGCAGCTTTGGCTGACCTTGACCCTTGATATTCCCCGCTCGGAAGCCGAGCACCGCTTCACGCGAACACTACGGGTCATTGATCGTCTGCAAGCTACAAACATACCGACTAATCTGTATATCCGAATATTCTGAGGGGAGAGTCAGCTCGGAGGCACCTCTTTGGTCTCGTTATAAGACTCAGGATGGTACCAGACTCATCACTTCGTCTCATATATCTTTTCGGCGTGTATGAGATGAGATATTTATACCATGAAACCCTGGTCTTGGATCAACCATGAACCACTTCAAATCCCGAGATTATTTGCCGAGTTCACTGAAAGACAAAACAACAAAGCGACGGTACCAATAAACTTCTAAACGTAAAATTGTTTCAATGCTCTCAGACTTTGAGAACTTGTTTGCAGGCGCTATCTACGAAGCCAGCTTTTTATGACCAAGGCAATGCTACAGTCGTGTCCATCTCTTCGTGACTCTTCAACATCAACACATCAACGTCAGGCTGGCCCATCATGTGCTCATCAAGTGCTCCTCTCTTTCTCTCAACGCTTTAAAATCTAGACCAGCACTCGATATTATTCGACATTGTCCGGAACGCCGCCAATGCAAACCATCACTGAGCGTCTCGTATTCCTGAAATCCCTCGAGACTTTTTGAAATCCCCGTCTCGCTCGTCCTCCATCTATTTTGGCATCAAGTTCTCCCGCACGGCAAACATCTTGGCACTGACGTTGGCTGTGAATCCATCCACCTGCTTGCTGTATTGCTCCACCTGCTTCGCGTTTAGCATACCCTCCAGTCTGCTGGGCTCCTGGGGAAGCTTGAACAGTCGCTGCCACTCATCCTCGGGAAGAGGAGCCTGCTTGGCAGCAGCACGTTGGGCGTTCTCAGCCTTGCGCTTGGTCTGCCATTGTGTAATCTTGGTCTGCTCACGACCGAGTTGTCGCTGGTAGAATTGGAAGTTGTTGAGGTCGGTATAGTGAGACTCGATGCTCTCGAGCAGAAGATCGCAGGTCTTCTCGAGGAAGGGGTCGATCGCAAGGTCGAGGTTGTCGATAGAGGGGTACAGAGGAGGCTCGAGAGCGTTGCGGTTGAGGTCATCCAGCGATGAGGGTTGCTCAATCTCGCCCTTCACGGGAGCGGAAGGAATCTGGTGGAGGAAGGTTGTGAGGAGGTGAGAGTTGTGGACGTTGACAGGGACCTCGGTGAGGATATCCTTGAAGGTGAGCTTAGACTTTTGCAAGCTGTTACTGGTCAGTATCTCTGTCTCCGGTCGTGGCAATAACATCATCGTACCTCTCGGTTGTGAACTTGCCCTCCTTGTAGGCGCTCATGAAAGCAGGGGACAGGCGGAAAGCCCGGAAGGTCAAGTTGCCCTGAGAGCTCTTGCTAGCATCGTGGACGAGGGCGACAGTGTTCTCGTTGGCGCTTTGGTAGTGGAACTGATTCTCGATGAAGTTCAAGTTGACAAAGTTGCCCATGGTGGCACTTGTGTACCAGCCAACGTTGTTGGCGTCGACGTTGACCTCCTTGAGATGTCGGATCATCTCATTTTGGTAGTGAATGTTGTTCTTCTGTCGGGGAGCAGCAGCAGCGATCTGCGAAGCATCGTTCTGGTGGCTATCGGTCGTAGCGGGGTCGACGGTAGGGAAAGGGAACGTGTTGGTGACCTCGAGGAGACCCTCGTTCTCCATACCAACAATAGCTCCAGTTGCAACAGAAGGGAAAGCCGAAGAGCAGTGCTTGGCAATCTTCATGATAACCTACACCACCGACTGAGGTCAGTCCCATTACTCTTTACTCGTACTTCAAGAGGGGGTCTCAAAGACCAAAAGGTGGGGCATATTCAACTCACCAGAGCCTCGACTTGAACGGCCTGGAAAGGCGCAGCAACAGGCGCATCATTGGGAGCGTCCGCCATATTGACAAAAATTCGGGAGGAGGTATTCACGGTGCCGCGAGAGAAGGAGAGAGGTTCGGCGCTACGATCGCGAAAAGGGCGGGTGGTGTTGCAAGGCTTCGGGGCTCTGAAGGTGGGAATATCGAAACTTTTCGTTCGTGTACTCATTTGTGGGCGTTGTGGGATGTCTAGGCGGTGAGGTGTGGCAGATTATATATCCCGCGCCTGACGCTACAAGCCGATCTACCATCTTCTATTATCACCATCAGGTCAAGCATACGACGGCCAGAAAAGATGCCTTGTTTACTCTAATTTACCGATATTGCGCTCGATATCATGATACGGAATGGATGTGTAATTTATCTCTCTTATGCGTCTCTTCGCGGTCCGTTCTGAGCTGTGGCACCTTGCCCTCGTTCTCAACGTTCTACAGACCTTCAATGCCATCAGCTAGAATATCACGAGCAATCTAAAATCCAATTATTGTTTTATTTCGTTTATCATTCTACCGTCTAGCCCGTTTTCAGAGCAAATCATCATTTTTCCGAGCAAACGCCATTCTTTTTCTGTACCATGTTTTTCTAACCCTCAAGACCGACGCCCAACGCCTCATAAGCTTCTTGAACAAAAGGTTTCAGAAGTCTCAAACCTTGTCATCTAATCCTGCCAGGGGATAATCTCCCAGGTCTCGGCATTGTCCCGAATGATAAGTCGATGTTGATCAATCTTCCAGAATGCGTACAAGGAGCGAGTTGCTCCAGCAGCCTTGCGATGAGCTGGGCCTGTACCACCCTTCTTGGCATCTTCCCGCGAACGCCAGACACAAGTCGCCAAGTTGGCCAGTTCAGAGTCAGGTTCTCCAAACCAGTATCTGTTCGTGTCAATACAATAGACCCATGCAGAAGATGCACTTCCAACTTACTTCAGGAATCCACCACTCGCCACAGCCTCAGCATGCGCCCCCTTGTCGAGAACGCCAAGGTCAGCATATTCGGTCTCCTTCTTGATTCGTGATCGGAATGCCACGATATAGAACGATGTTGCTTTGAAGGGTTTTCCAGATTCGACCGCAAGACGTTTCACTTCTTCGATCACCTCTGGCCAGTTGAAGGATTCTGTGTATGGGGCTGTCGCATAGTCGTCGCGAAGAACTCGAAATTGACTCAAGGCTCGTGCGAGGAGCTCATTTTCATTGTCAAGAGTGTCGAGGTCAAGCAAATGCGCATGTTCCGTGTATGGTGATTGGATAAGATACCGGTGGTTGGCTGCGAGTTCCAGGCTGACTTCTCTCACTTCGACTTCGGCGGCTCTTTTTGAAAATACATCGAGTGACGATGCAGGAGCTGTTTGCACATCTGCAGTTGCCATTGTGGGTTATTTGAGTTTTGCTGTGTGGTTGAGTATCGAGTGTGCAGTCAAGACAGTGAGATGATTTGGGGATCTCGATACACAATGGCAGAAGATGGAAGGGGAACATATGGAACTACGAGTCAGCGCGCGACGACAGCGACAGCGAGTCATCAGTAATTTATAGCACACGAAACATCTTTACAACCTCTTAGGCAATCAAGCCTTGAATAACGTGCTCAAATGACACCATCCGAGCCGGACGACGACAGTTACACATGTGGGTCGGTGAAGACTGCCAAAGGGTCTTTCTGCCGGTAGTTCTGGAAGTTACTTGCTTGTTAGTGCGGATGGTCGGGCGTCTCAAAAATGGCACTTCTCGAACTAGACCGGTCAAGACTTGTTGTCCGAGTCAGCTAGGCGTGCTATTTGAAAATCGGAGAATTCTGCAACTCGTTTTTGCTGGAATACTACAAACGGCTTCGCAGAATAACGAAGTCCACCGGAATTCTCGTTGTCTCTGAGAGATCCGGAATCTCGCATATCAGAGACATGTATCTATGGCGACTTCTCACCAAACCATGATGAAATGCCGGGATCGGCTACAAATAAAGAGCGAGATCCTTCCTTCACCGCCAGAAGAACGCTTCGTCAACCATTTCACCGGTTTCGGGCATCCTTGGAAGGACAAGGCGGAGAGTCGGAACAAAGAAGGAATTACACTTTATGTAACCAGGGGTCCTTGACAAAATGGCTGTGAGACTAACGCAGGCCAAACTGCAATGACATGTGCCTGCGGTTGGCGCTAAAAAAAGAAAATGGCCGACGGTACGACCCAACCGACCATCTTGAATTACTACTACACCATACAGATACAATACTACATATTCGAGGTCAGCCGAACACTTGACAAGAATGACTCTTTGTTGGCACTTACTCGTCAGATGATCGATTTACAAACTGCAGGCCAAAAAGACCGTCATAAACTCTCAGTCAAAGTCAACTCTTAGAGTTCTGAGAAGCTTCGTTTGCACGCATATTTTGAGGCAGCATAATTGGAGGACATGATCTTCGTTCTCATCGTGCCCTCTGGTTATAGTCTAACCCTATTGAAGACATAATCTGGCATTGTTGAATGAATTCTCTGGGTTACGAGTCTCCCTTGTCGCACACAACTTTCTGAAGACGTCAGAAGCCACGGGGATGTCGACATCCGATCTACGATCGTGCTCGTTGATCATTGTATAACTTCATAATTATTGTAATTGTGTGATATAATCCTTTGGGGTCTTTATGTCAGTCAATTGATATAGAAATCGCTAGAACATATGGTTGAATGTCTAATTGGTCTATCACAACTAATATCGCGCACCATCACAACGGAACATCGTCCTCCACATCTGTCTTTCCCCTTCTCAACCAAACTTTGGCCATCTCATACGACCCCAGATAGAGTCCACTCCCTAGCATCGTCCACCCAGATCGCAGAGCCGCACCCCGGAAGAATCCCCGCACTCCCCTCTCTTGGTAAACCTCCCTCGAGACAGTCCACGCCCCCTTCTTTGGTTGCTTTCCCTCCATCTTGGCTGCGACTTCGCTCTGGCCTTGTGTCGAATTCTCGCTCTGATTTCCGGCGCTCAACATCATCCTCGTCTTGACGACATCACTCGGTGTCGTTATGAAAGCAGCTATTGATCCCGCACTTCCGGCACTTAAACCCGTAGCGAGCCCCGTCTCGATCAGCCCCGGCTCCCTAGAACCGGAGCCTCGCGATTTCCAATATGTTGCTCGCACATGCTCGAATATAGGAAATTGAAGAGCTGTGAATGGTAAATTTCGTGCGACGAGTGCTGTGTAGCCTGTAAAAAGGCGACGTGATACTCCATCACCGGTCAACTGACGGAATGCTTGTAAGGAGGTAGAAGATCCAGATCGTCCAACCCCATGACTATCATTTTGCAGCATCTGGGCATTTTGCTTGATGACCTCTGCTGGTGCGAGGACTAAGCAGGATGCCATCTCTGCCACACCCGAGGCTGCTGAGTGAACTAGAGGTTGTGGTAATGGCGTCGCATTGCCGATGATGCGTTTGGCGCTCTCATATGTCGAGAAGAATAGACCCGCTGTGAATTGTGTAAGCCAGCAATTCCTCATATTCCGTCTTCTATTACACACCTGCTGGAAGAGTAGCCAGGACTACACTTCCAATCCCTTGGTAGAGTCCTCGTACAGCCCATATGTTCTTTTTCGAGCTGTAAGAATATGTCTTGAGGTAATCTTGACTCTGCAAACGAGTCTTGATGGTATCGAGAGGGTAGACCAAGACATCTACTGTAAATGCTGCAATAGCACCAGCCTATGAATGTGTGAGTGAGTGTATCATGACCAGAACCTTGATTATTTAGCCAGTCTTACAAAATATATTTCCGACATGTTTTCCCTCAGACGCCTGCTGCATGTATCGTGATGATGAATTTCTTCCAGGTTGGTAGTGAAATATGGGCTCTCTTACACCATGAGCTGGTGATGTCATGGTTGTGTGCTTATATCCACTCTCGGATTACCCTGCACTTCAACTCATCATGGAAACGTCTCGAGTTCACAGCATGTGAAAGACATAAAATAGCCTTGAATGAGCACATCACCATAGTTTTAGTATTGTAGTCGGTGGGCTCCTTGTCATAGCTCATAAGTGATCCAATTTATCATAAGAACAACTACATATCGATTTCAACATCGTACTCATCTTATCTGATGGACTCAAGTCTGATAATACAAATCAGAACTACTTTTAGAATTAAGAATGTACATGATCCCATCTCTTGACGCCAGCCCATATACAACCCCATGATTCAAGCAAGCCGGCGCTTCCCCTGCCGTCTATGTGACTCAATGACTCCAAAACGTCCCAAGATAATAAATCACCAAAATGCTTGCGTTCCCGTCTTTATAAGATGTCCTCTGCTCTATCATAAAATCGCGCCGTAAATCGAATAACAAAGGAAATCATAGCTTGCTCTTTACAGCGGGGGTCGTCTCGTTAACTACTGCCACCACGACACAAATATCGTCGACTTTGCCGCCGTGCCAGTTTTCTTGGGGGTAGTATTTGTGGACCTCCTTGGCGAATGGTCCATCAAGTTTTGTGTTGACGCTGGCTCGCTTGGCGGCTGTCACGATTTCCGTAGCGAGTGCGCTCTGGAGTGTAGCTGTTCGTTTGCCTTCGGAGGCTTCAGGGAACTCAACCAGAGGCTCTAGCGAATCCGCAACGCGCACACCACCAGCATCAGTCATTACCCAGGCGCCTGTGGATACCAGAACTCGACTGGCGATTCGTAGAATATCCTGGTTAAAGAGATTGTCTAGAACACCGTCGGTCGCAAGAACAAGAATATCGCCGTGACGGAGCGCGTGTTGGGTAACGTCAGCATCCCTGGGAAGGTCGCTAAGCTGAGCACCACCAAACGCTGCCATGCGAGCAGCAACGCTGGGAGGTACGAGAGATAGTTGGAAAGGAGTATTGAAGGCGTGTGTTTGAGGTTCGGAATATGTATGAACTCCATTGAGTCGAAGTTGCAAGAAGCCGGAATCACCAAGGTTCGCAACGTCCAGGTTTCCATCTGCTCCAGCAATAGCGACACACGCTGTGCTTCCGCCAGCGCGAAGACTGTTGTCGTTGCAGATTGCTTCGTATCCCTTCTGCATCAACTGTCTTGCTGTCAAGGGAGGCCCTGAGCTAGTCTGGTGTTCGTGGGCAGCCAATGCCATATAATCGCAAAATCCATGTGAGAAATCAGCGGGATCGACACCGGAATCTACCCAGCCCCCAACACCATCAGCAACGCCAAAAGCTACTGACCCGGAGTCGTTGATCCGGCTGACAAAGAAGGCATCGTGCCCAGATTCGGGTCGAGCGGAAGGTCGACGGTTTCGAGGGGGTTGAATTCGATTGTATGGGTTGAAGTGGAAGACGTGAGTGGAGGGGTCGTATGGCCTGTCCTTAGCAATGAAGGAAGATGCGACATGGTAAGAGAATCGAGGAGCATCGGTCGAGGTGGAGTAGAGTCTGGAACGAGGGCACGAACTCATTGCGGCATGAGGATAAGCACGGAGTCGGGAGCAGGATTGCGTGGGAGCTGGCACAGTTAGAATTGCGGATTGTCGAGTGTTGTACGGGCAATGCGACCAACCCTTAGCAAGCGTTCGCAATGAAGCCGTAGCAAGTCGATTGTAGGGTGCAGCCATGGAGGGCTAGAAAGTGGATCGTCCAGAGACAAGAATTGATGCGAATAGTGACGGGCTGGAGCGAGGATCGAAGGAGGATTAAGATATTGGTGACGATGAAACTTTGATAGAAATTACAGAGAAATCATCTTTGCCAAGGAGATCGTAAGAGAAAAAATTGGGTGTCATGAGAGAAGTGGGATCGTGAACGGAGAAACAAAGTTGTTGAGCGCCGATTTACCAACTTGTTATCTAATCTTGACTGGCCAAGCCCCTCCAATATCCTTTCACAATAACCAATTCCTCGGAACAAAGAGGCAAGCCACAAATACCTTGTGAAATTATGCAAGATAAAAGGAGGCGGTGCATGGTTCAAGCCACTGCATGCTTCTCCAATATTTCCCGGAATCTCATCTCCGCAATTATTGATACCCGCTGTTGATCCGCGATCTATATCCGCGAGGAAGTCACGTCACGTGGTTTCACGAGCGTTGTTCCTGCCGATTCCGAGACCAGCGAAGCCGAAGTTGACAATTCCAAATTTGTGATTGGCCAGAGGTCAGCCGTAGGTCCCAGTGTAAACTGCAATAACCGAGGAAGGTTTGCCAACCCAATACATGACGACGAGAATCCTCGATACGCCACCCTTTGCGAATAGACAATTCAACTCTATCGGAGGAGATTGCACAGCATTTCTTTCCTGTCAATTGTCTGACCACAGCTCCAACTAAACATTGCGAAGTTTGACTGTCCTTCTCCTCCGGTCCCAATCGCAATTGTACTTCCTCGATTCGATTATTCGACAAGATGGCTGCTCTTCGATCTTCTTCCCGACTTGTCGGAGCCTTCTCAAGGACGGCCGCTTTCCGACCTGGTGCTGTCTTCACTCGTTCTATGGCCTCAGTCAGCGAGCCTCCCAAGGACTCTGATGCCAACCTCAAGTCTTTCCAAATCTACCGATGGAACCCCGATACCCCCAGCGAGAAGCCTCGTCTTCAGACCTACACTCTGGACCTCAACAAGACTGGACCTATGATTCTTGATGCCCTCATCCGAATCAAGAACGAGCTCGACCCTACTCTGACCTTCCGACGAAGTTGCCGTGAGGGTATCTGCGGTAGCTGCGCTATGAACATCAACGGACAGAACACTCTTGCTTGCTTGTGTATGTACCCCTTCACTCGGGTCGCATGCGGCAAATCATATCGGAAATTGAAGTGCTAACGTATTTTCAGGCCGAATTCCCACTGAGGCTGCTTCCGACGTCAAGATCTACCCTCTTCCTCACACCTATGTCGTCAAGGACCTTGTCCCTGATTTGACACATTTCTACAAGCAGTACAAGAGCATTAAGCCCTACCTTCAGCGCGATACCCCTGCCGAAGACGTACGGCCCCTTTCTCACTTACGGAATCTTACATTTACTGACCCAATTCTCAGGGCAAGGAGTACCGACAGACTAAGGAGGACCGCCGTAAGCTCGATGGTCTCTACGAGTGCATTCTCTGCGCCTGCTGCTCTACCTCATGCCCATCTTACTGGTGGAACTCTGAGGAGTACCTTGGCCCCGCTATCCTTCTCCAGTCTTACCGATGGCTCGCCGACTCTCGTGACGAGCGCACTGCCGAGCGAAAGACCAACCTCGAGAACTCGATGAGCCTGTACCGTTGCCACACCATTCTTAACTGTACACGAGCCTGTCCCAAGGGTCTTAACCCTGGCAAGGCCATTGCCGAGATCAAGAAGCAGATGGCTTTCGGCAACTAGATTAACAAAACTACGAATATGTCGCGAAAACGATGTGACGATTGGAGGGAGAAGCGAAGCATTTAAAGGGTTGTCGCAGAGCAAAATCTGCGTATGAGATTATTAGCACTTTAACCCTGTGTATAGGCTATGGATGGGAGTTCCACGCTGTGTTCTATAGCAAACTTGGCAATATTATTTTCTTGATCGTTCACCCCTGGTTCCTGTACTGTTATCAAGCTTCTTGTGTTCGTTCGGGCATGATTCTGTAAACTGACTTTAGCTACGCTCGCCAGCCCGACCTTACGATACCGTACTCTCAAGCGCCTCGAAAAGCCTGCCCGTGTTTAAGAAAGAGCACCATATACAGACCAATTGAGACTTAAGAACTCGGAAAATTGCTCGGCAGCTGCGATTCTGACCCTCCGCCCTGGCTGGCTCAGTTGCAATCGCCGATCGAGCCCCTGCTGAATTGTCTTCAAGCAAGGGCCATGCTGAACGTCGATACTTTCAATGCGCCCTTAATCCTCGAGCTTCGAGTCGAAACTATCATTCTTCCTGAACTGGTTTCCCCCCTTCACACGACCTCTTGGCCTTCTCACCACTTATACAACACGAGTCTGTGGCATGAAGACAGCGAGTGCTGATCCCCAATGATCGACATACGTGACATGATCACCAAACAATGCTACGAGACACATTCCGTTAGCTCACAAGGATGAGAAAGACCGACAGTTTTCACATGAATTGGAGTAGGGGGTTGGTTGAAGCAGTGTACAGTACCTGCAGAGTGGCTTCGGGACGGTTTAGAGTGGCTTTTAATGATGGAACAACTTCATACAAAATGAGTATTTAGAGCAAGTGGATCAAGTTTTGTACCGGGATATCCAATATGTGGCTTCGGAGAATTTTCAGACGTGAATCGTAACTATAATAGCCAGAAGCTTGTCTGAACCTTGCTTCCGTTCTTTTGACAGGTGCACGACTGTGGCCTTGAATTTCGAGGTGTTATTAAGATTCCTTACAACAGTGATAAACCTCCCTGCATAAAAAGATCCTTTCATCGAGCAGGGAATCACAGTCATTCTCGTCAAGACCATCTGACATGACAGGCGGCAGTAAGTGTATGAGCTCGTTGGTATGTTTGTGACGTTCGTTTTTTGTGAGCCAAGACAATATGTTTTGAAAAACGCCAGCATCTTGGTGTTTGGTACTTGATTTAAAGACAGCCTTAACTTTTTTTCACGGCTACGTTACACATATTGAAGATCGCCATCATGTCTCACAACAACTGCCGGCCTGCGGAATGCTGAACCGTGTATACTAGCCATGATGCTCAGTTTGAAGTAGATGTTAAAGCTAATGTTGATAAGAGTTTGAGTATTTGGCTCTATCATCGAAAATTGTTGATTGCATGGTAGGAGCTGAATACGTATAAAGTCTGGTAACTCCTACCTACAGCAGAAGACAAACCTTGATATCAACATCCACAATTTCACACCTCAAACTTTACACTTCGCATCTTAACAAACTACCTAAAACATCATCATGTTCTTCAATGCTATCATTAACGCTTCCGCTATCGCTGGCCTTGCTGCCGCGGTGCCCTTCAGCACCAACACCACAAGCGCCTGTCCCACCCTCTGCGTGGATGCTATTAATGACTGTGGTGTCATGTACGGAGGGTAAGTTAATCCAAATCCAAATATATCCGAGCGTAGAATATCCTAGTTGCTAATTTACCAGATGCTATCCTATTTGCTCTCCTGAGCTGTATCCTACACCGCCGCCATGCACTCCTACCACACCAACTACTACACCTACCATCACCCCTATCACTCCAGACATTACCATCACTCTTATCACACCAACCCCTGATCCCATCACGAACTCAAATAGTTAAACGGGATGCTACTGATCCTGATTTCACTTGAGGTAGCAAGAGTATTGGCGATGGAACTGTTATTCGCATTGGAAATCTGTACCTCTCAGGAAGATATCCTTACCTAGGCATTTGAGATTGTTGATTATCTAATTATACGACACGTTCTACTCCAAAACTACCTAAAACTTTCCCAGAACTAGTAGTAGGCATTGCCTGGTGTGCTTGGACTTCGTGAATAATCATCTACCGTTCCTGGGAACGCACCAACTGGTGCTGAAGGTCCACCCTTGACATCGTCATCTGAACTTAGGTCATCGACATATGTATCATCGTCTTCAGGCGGTGCGCGCATGGCTTCGAAAATATCCCTGTCCAGTGAGGGCACCTCGTAGGGCTTGAGCGTATGAATCTCTCGCCCCGACGGCATCTTGCTGAGGAGTGTGTTGATGGGGGGTATTGCTTGTGTGTTCATCTGGCACAGATGTTAGCGAATACCATAGTATTCTTGATATAGTGCTTACCGTATCGTTAACTTTGTTCCACTTGGCATCGAGCACCTCTAGTACTCGAATCTCCTCCATCTTACCAGCATCACTTCCCCATGCAGACTCTTTATCCACACGTCGATCTTCGCGTTTTTCTGTGAAATCTTTCTTTAATCGACTGAAGCTTAGTCCCTTCTTGTTGTTGTCTTTGATTTCAACACCTAGCTCTGATAAGCCGGCACGAACCCATCCAATGCCATCTGCAACCTGGCCACCTATCTCGGCGTCGATTCCAAAGAAACGACAAGCGCGAGCTCGACATGTTCGGCGAAGATCTTCTAGATATTTCAGAAGAGCACTACTGATCTTATGCGAACCAGAACCTGCTGTGCTGCATAGAGATGATGCTTTGGCTGCATGTTCTGAGGCTGCTAAACACAGCCGGGCATAAAGATGGGCACGAACTTTTGGAATCTCAGGGGCCTTGAACATCCACTCCTTGTCGTTCTTGTTCCGGTCCTGAGCGACTATTGCTGGATACGGATCGTCTTTAAGAACAGCTAGTAACGTAGCTTCAGCCAATGCTAGAGAACACAAGGCTCGAGCTGTTCCGGGAGCAACATCGGGACATGGAGGGGTAGCTGTAGCATGCTCTCCTCGACCTGCGAGATAGTCATACACGGAAGCAGCTTCGAGGAGACATTTCGTTGCGGTTGTGACTGCATTTGTTCGCTCTTGGGCCCCGAGAAACTCGCTACTGGTTGAATAAAGTGGTTGCAAGGCAGATCGGGCTACAAGAACATGAGAGAAGCCCAGAGTCGAAAGTACAAAGGCAATTTCATGTTCTAGAGATGAAATCTTGACTCTGGCTCTCTCACGTCCTGGGACGACTTCGCCAGATAAAGTTGGTCTCCATTCGATAGCCGGGGGCGTCTTTGGCGTGACGATAGCCAGACCCTTGTTACTTAGACCGTCGTCCACTGCTAGTAGGTATGGGATGTAGCCATTGACGCTGGAAATAACTGTGTTTAGATTTGAGACCTGAGAGCTTGGAGGAAGTCTCTTGTGCTTTTTCAGGGCATCTCGAACTACCCCGCGATATGTGCTGGCGTTGAGGGGCAGTGAAGGATGAGACTCGGAGCTGAAGCTTGATGAGAATGAGAAAGCCGAAGTCGTCGGGAGAATGAAAGGGAACGGCATTTTGAATTAGAAGAAAACAGGCCTTACTCTGAGGTTGAGTATAGCGAGATTTGCAGTAACAAAAAGGGTGAAGATCAAGTTTTGAGTTCAATTGTTTTGCCAAGCTCTTGGTCCAGACCTGACGATATCACCATACTGTGTGCGTATCAGCTGTTTACGCACTGCTCAAGTGACGTCTCTGGCTCCGGGGCTCGGAAGCTCCTTTTCGGCCGATGCTCAAATACAAGCTCCACCAAAATTTCCGGGGTCGCATTGAATGTCATTTAGAGCTTCGCTTCAGAGCTCCACGCACGCTCTCTCCTCCTTCATCAACCGAACCACTCTTGTTAATGACGACTTTCGCTATCTCGGGGTGACAATGGCTGGCCCTTCTCCGTCACCGCACAAGCCTCGTCGCAAGGCTAATACTAAGAAGCCTGGCAATGGCGGCAGCGAAAAGGCCCCTCGCACAGAAGCCCTAGTACGGGCGCCCGCGTTCCCTCTTGCGGCGTTTCTATGGCCTGCGCGGACTTCTTTGTCGCAATGGGAGGTTCTGCCTGTGATTCTCATGGTGGTTGGTCTTTTTCGATGGGCTGCTGGTTTGTGGGGATATTCTGGTAAGGATGGCCGCTCGAGTTGACCATCATGACACCTTTCGCTAACGAGGAGCTTGATTTGCAGGGTTCAGTAAACCGCCCATGTTTGGAGACTATGAAGCGCAGCGGCATTGGATGGAGGTCACGACACAGCTTCCCATATCGCAATGGTATTTCCACGATCTTCAATGGTGGGGTCTCGACTACCCTCCCCTGACGGCCTACCACAGCTGGCTTCTGGGCAAGATTGGCTCTCTCATCGATCCCTCGTGGTTCGCGCTCTTCACCTCTCGAGGAAACCAGGATTCCAACCTCAAGATCTTCATGAGGGCTACAGTCATTATCTCGGAGTACCTCATATACGTCCCAGCCGCCATTGTCTTCGTGCGACGATATAGCAGACTCCAAGGGGTTACCAACTGGACAGCATGGCTTGCGCTCGTCGCGATCCTAATGCAGCCTGCCACCATTCTTATCGACCATGTTCACTTCCAGTACAACACCGTTATGCTCGGATTTGTCATGGCGAGCATGTCGAGTATGCTGGCTGAGCGCTACAAGTGGGCTGCTGTCTTCTTCGTCGGTGCGCTGGGATTCAAGCAGATGGCGCTGTATTATGCCTTCAGTGTCTTCTCGTATCTTCTCGGTCGCTGCGTTTACCCTCGACTTGACTTTACCAGGCTGTTCGGTATTGCTCTTGTCACAGCCGTTTCTTTTGCCATCCTAATCCTGCCTCTGGTTCTTGGTACACTCTATGACAAGAGCCAGGGCATCGATGCTCATGGAGATTCCAAGGATCCTCCTTCGCTTCCCTTATTTCCTCAGCTTGTCGAGATTTTAGACACTAAAGCCTTTTACTGGCCTATTGTGGAACAGTTGGTTCAGATGGTCCACCGTGTCTTCCCATTCGCGCGTGGTCTGTTCGAGGACAAGGTTGCCAACTTTTGGTGCGCTGCCAATGTCGTTATAAAACTCCGACAGTGGCCAACAGCTCTTCTTCAAAAAGCAGCTCTTGGTGCTACTCTTGGTTCGATTATCCCGCCTAACATTATCCTCTTCCTGCGACCACGAAAGTCCACACTTCCTTTGGCTTTTGCTGCCACAGCTTGGGGTTTCTTCCTGTTTAGCTACCAGGTGCACGAGAAGAGTGTCTTGCTTCCATTGATGCCCATGACCTTACTTCTGGCTGGAAAGCACGGGTTGAACAAGGACACACGAGCTTGGGTGGGCTTCGCCAACCTCTTGGGAGTCTGGACTATGTTCCCTTTGCTCAAACGGGTCGACCTGAGGATTCCATATGCGGTTTTGACCCTCCTCTGGTCCTACCTGCTTGGTCTCCCACCGACCTCTTTGAGCGCCTACTTCCAAGAAGGTCAAGCTGCCTGGTTGCAATGGGGTACAGCATTATTGCATCTGCTGTTCTATGTAGCCATGGGTGCGTGGCATGTTCTTGACACATTTGTAACACCTCCTGCTGATAAGCCTGACCTATGGGTTGTGGCAAATGTTGGAGTTGGTGCTGCAGGTTTCATTATCTGCTATCTATGGTGCTTCTTTAAGCTTATCCAAGAGAGCGACCTACTGCCTGGAGGCTCAACAAGTAAGAAGGATAAAAAGAGCAAGACCTTGTAGAGAGGTTTTTTTTGTCGATAATAGATTTCAATACGATTTTGATTTGCCGTCATCTCTCCATCGTTGTCCAAACTGCTAAAGCGGGCTTGTTCAACTTGTGTCCTACTCTGTACCAGGCTATTCGTTAATGGGTGTAACTCTTTCGACCTCCCATCTCGTCTATTGGATCAACCAACGTTGTTTTTGGGCAGCAATTTCTTTAAAGAGCCATGGCAATAGTGGCTAGCCAAGGTCGAAGAGCAACGCTTGGTTGTCGACTGAGAAGATGCTTACACACGACTCAGCTAGTTGGACACAGGCGATGACAGCAATGAACACATTCTCACTCTGTCATTGACTTGGCAGCTTATGGGCAGACACAGCCGACACTACGTAGTATTTCTAGTTAGACAGCACAACCACTCTTGGGGCGATACATTCTTGTCAAATTGACAATAATTATTCGGACTGGGGACGATACCACGAGACAGGAGACAGAAACGGCAGCATTCGACTTGCCATACTTCAATAAATCCATCTTGTATCGAGATATGGTAAGGTATCATACGTGTGGAACCATGCTTGTATCTCGATTATGGTAGTTCAGTCAACCTATCGATTTTGCTTGGGTAGTCCTGCTTTCCAGTAGAGCACCGAAAAACACTGGTCCTCCAGGCGTCGAGGAGAATTGCGCGCTGTACTTATTTGCAGAAAAAGCCTTGGCCAGATGACTGGATAGGAGGTTTGTATATTCTGATCAGACTTACAAAATAGATGTAAGCTGAGATGCTGTCCAAGATTGTTGTCCTTGCATTCAGTGAAAACAAGACCTGTTGACAGGTATAAGGTCAGAGAACACAGAAAGAGGGCAAAGATAATCCATCTTATGACATCGAATACAGGGCATCTTAGGCTGATTGCGAGCCATCAAGAACCGCTGATATTTCTTGCTGATACAGGCTGCAGGAACCGTTCCAACGTGACATCCTAGGCAAAAGAAGGATTGAAGAAGGGGCTTGAATCTCGAGTACGGCAGATGAAGGAGTTCTTCGGATGAATTCGACTCCCGTTCAAGGCGCAGTCCAGTACCATGGTGGTTTAGACACCGAGGCTGGGCTTGGAAGATGGCACTTTGATGCCTGAGAACACGGTCTCATCCTTCTTCGTATTAGAGATGATTGTGACAAGGTAAGTTCTAGGCCGTGATGAAGGATGACAAAGTGCTTAGTTAGATCTTGCTGTTGCATCGCCACCGAGAGCCTATCATTGCCACAGCAGAGATTCTTTATCATGAGCCTCAGAGAATGACCAGTTTCATGGTATCAGAGGCTGGAAGGCCTGAAGGAGCTGACTTTGCCAAGTGTCCAAGCAACCAAAAGGCCTGAAATATGCATGTGCTTCTAACTGGGGTCTGATCCGATTTGAGAGCCTGGTCGAGATATTTGCAGATCTTTGCTGACACTAGGTCTCTTGGGGAAGCTGGGAGTCGTTCATTTGGAATTCCACATTCTACTTTGCCTCATCATCAGTGTCAGTCTTGGTAACCAGTAACAGAGAGCCAAGGGTTGATCATATCGGAATACGATGCACGCATGCGCTCTCAAGTCTGCAAGGTCGGGAATAAGATGCTGACTCTGGAAACGTGTGAGAAGAGGCAAGATTCAAGACTCTTGGTTCTCTGGCCCATGAGGCAAACCAACTTTGGGGTGAGGTTGCATGCTTCGGGGAGGAGAAGAAGAACTATTGGGGGCCAAATGAATTGGGTGAGGAGATTGTTGATCTGGATCATATGCCAATGACCAAGGATCTATCCGATGTCTATTGGTGGAGAAGAGTCTTGTCGAGTAATATTTTATGCAGGTTATCGTGGAGTTTGTTCTCGTTCACAAGCGAACCATTAGATACCAAGTTTTGGCCGATATGATGAGATATGTGATTGACGAGTGAGACAGAGCTAAGAGCGAGGGACTTGGCGGGACGCGTGGAAAAGACCCGAGAAACGAGAGACGAATTTGCAGGGTAAGGATATATAATCCTTGTCTGCATTAACCGATCTTACATATTTGGAGAGACCCCAAAGTCCCAATTTGATCAACCAAGCCAAGAGAAAAGCAACGTGTCACTGCTGGGTGAAGAAGTGTGGCATTCATCCTCCCGCCTGTACAGTACTAGATAGTGAGTCTCTGGTGTATAAGGCTGAGATGATTTTCATGGCAAATTGCGGAGTGGCCAGGAATAAACTTGATTAACCCACAACGGGCCAACTGCTCCGAAAGAAACAAACCTCGGCCGTGTTGCTCAGCCTTTGTTATGGAGTTGCAGCTGCAGCTGCAGGCAAAAGAGAAGAGCTAAAGCTAAGAGGTGAGGTTGAAATCTTGGGCCCCAAAATAACTAGTGTCCGTTGCTGCAGTGCTTGGCATGGATACTAAGCCCAGCAAATGCAACCTCAAATTGCTGCTTATTAGTTGAGGCTGGTGCTGACTGGTCGGATATAGAACATCCCTACATATAATCCTTGGATAGTGCTTACTGTGTCGGTACGGTACCTTGTTCGACAGTCTGAGCATTGGAGTCCAGCACAGCACAGCAGAGTCGAATTTGGCTAATAAGCTGACAGTGGAGATTAGAAAAATCCTTTGAGGGAGAAAGACTTTTCTACTGTGCTGCAGTGTACAGTACGTAGAGTATGTGAAGTAGTTGTAGTGGTTGGTGGGAGACTTTAAGTCTAGGGTTTAAGCATAGTGGCCAACTCTATCTTGAAACTAACAAAGCCAACGATCACGACTACACATATAGTATGATTTTAGTAACTCGAGCAAAAGAACGAAAAGACAGCAAAAGATCAATGCTTCGTGAAACTCATCTCAATCTGAACAGGGCTGAGTTACCTAGTGGGATCGCCGAGAGAGAGAAAAAGTGAGCGGGCTTTGGCCATCTTGGCTCCTTTGTTCACCTCTGACCCATGCATCCTCCACCAACAAGACAGGCCCATATACGTACGGGAACTCGTAGAGCAGATCCACAGATAGAAACAGATGGTGTGCTGAACCGAAGCAGCGAAGCAGAGCAGTGCATTCGCTCAGCCCCCAGAAACTCTCAAGGACCCCCCCCCCTAGACCACCTAGTCTTTTGACTCGAAGCCAAGAGATGCTCGAGCTGTCTGCTGTCAGACCTCCTTATCCCGCCTTTGTCTAGCCCTGCCTCCTTCAATATCATCCCCTGCCCTGTCATGTACTGCCCTATGGGTTCGCCGTGGTACAACGGCAAGGTAAAAGGGACGAGGGTTACCGTTCCTGTCTGTTGTGGACTGTGACATTTCTCTCTTCATTACTCAGCTTCTCCCGCCTCGTTTCTCCTCCTCCTCTTTCTCTCGTTTTGTTTCTCTTTTGTTTCGTCGCTTTCACTCTTGACCTAGAAACCTGCTTGCTCTACTCAAGCTGTTCCTCAGTGTTAACTAATTCACAATGGTTTCAAAGTCATTGCTAGTCCTCACGGCGGCTCTTGCTACGGCCTGGGCTCAAACAACAACAGACGAACCTACAGCAACAGCAGAGGAGTCTTCCACAGGAACTTCATCTGGAGAGGCAGTAACACACACTGTCAATGTTGGAGCAGTAAGTTAACATCATGGCCACATAAAGACACATCAATGCTAATTAGTATACAGTCCGGTCACAAGTTCACACCAAACGAGGTCAAGGCCGAGGTTGGTGATATTATTGAATGGCGCTTCTATCCCACCGACCACTGGGTTATTCGGGGAGACTATGACAACCCATGTATCCCCTATGAGTATATCGGCGTCAACCGCCAGGGTTTCTCAAGTGGCACACAAAAGGTTCAGGCCATCACCGACGATGTAAGTTGATCAAGTCTCTCAGCCTCGGCTCAGGTCAAGACAAGATGCTAACACTCAAAAAAAGGGCCCTCGATACCGAGTTCGCGTCAACAACACTGATCCTTTCTTCTTCTACTGCGGAGCTCCAGAGTCCTGCTCCAAGTGGAAGATGATGGGTGTCGTCAACCCTGTAAGATCTACACTCTTGCATACATGGTACTCATAAACTAACATAACATGCAATAGTCCAAGAATGAGACAATTGAAGGATGGCTCAAGAACGCAGAGGACGTCGACATGCAACTACGACCCGGAGACCCTTGGCCAAAGGAGGGAGAGTCAACTTCTACTGGCGCAACATCTGAACCGACCGCCGACAACAGTGATGAAGATGACGAGAGCAGCGGAAGCGGCAAGAAGTCTCTCTCTACTGGAGCCATTGCTGGTATTGCCGTCGGTGGTGCTGCTGTTCTTCTCCTCGCTGGTGCTCTTCTCTACCTCTGTGGACGACGAGGTGGCTTCGACAAGGCCTATCGCAAGAGTTTCCGCAACAGTGTTCCTTCTGCCCCTCCAGTTGTCGAGAACCCTTACTCGCCTCACCCAAGTGTCGCCGATCCCTGGGCTGCTCAGAAGAGCCCTGGGCTTGTGGCTGCTCCTTACGGCCAGAGCCCTCCTCTCAGCCCTCACCAGTCGATGCCCTATGGAACACACCCCGGCATGGTCGCTCAAGATGGAACCCCCATTTCATACCAGTAAGTTTATCTAATCTCGCTCTCATCTGCTTGTTCTAACTCTTTACAGCGAGGGTTACCATCAACCACCCATGGCCGCCTCTCCCGCTACAACTCCCAAGCCTCACGAGCAAATCGCCCCCGTGGAACTTCCTGGCTCTCCAGACCCCAGCCATTCTCCTCTCCCCGCGTACAACAACAACAATGACGGAAGGGGATTCTCATGGAACGGAGATGAGCAGGGATACCGTCCCACGAAATAGTTGTCACGTATGCGAAATCCAACAAGGCAGGCCGTACATATTACGGTGTATGCGAATCACTATAAAGCGGCGTTCAACGGGAGTGTCATGTTACACGGGAGTTCTGTAGGGAAAGCATTTTGTGATGATGCGGTTTTTGTGTTTTTTTTTTAAAACTCACTTATACTTTACGATATCAGAGATTTTTAATCTTGTGGATGGCTTAGGGATATCTCAAACTTCATACCCTGGACTTGGATTCAGTCATTCACAGTTATAGCTTGTTAGTACTATGGAAACAATAAGTTATTTTACTATATGAGTTTATTAAAGTGTACCAAATTCAAGATCTAAAGGCACCAACCATAGACGTAAAAACTCATCAAAAACCTGCCGGAAGACAAAGACTTCGATGACGTGAAACTGAATCACACACTCCGAGATTGACTCGAGACAACAAAGAAGTCGCAGTTGGTGCTGAAAATTGCTGAGGTCAATGCTTAGTCTCAGATCCTCGACGGCCAAGCTCAATTTGATCATCAGATGAAGAAAGCACAGGAGAGACTTGAGCCGTTGAGGTCATTTGAGAACAAAGGAAAGGCTTGACGACTTGTTCTAAGTCGTAATTGACTGATGAAACTCATCATGTTTGCACAATACGGACATCGCCTAACACCACATGGTCGAGCAATGATCAGTGCAGTTTGACCAAGCACACCAATGTTACGCAGAAACAACTGACTGCTTAGAAAAGGCCAGGAAATTTCAGGGTCACTGAAGCGATAAAATACGGTATTGATGAGAGTTTACAATGAAACTTGGGAGCCTTGTTCGTTCATCATCGTTGGGCCCCTGGACCAAGGCCTCAAGGTTCTACTTCCTAAGGAACTGGCCAACGAAATGAGAATCACTTGTTTGTTTGTTTGTTTGTTTGTTTGTGTATTTTTCGTCTGGGTGGCTGTAACGAAGCCAA